CTCCCCTTATCCTGCCCTATAAAGATCTATGCGCAGCAGCTTCAAGCCATCTTTTCTAGCCATCCGCCATGGCGGTTGGGTGAAAGACCCGAGCTAACATGGGGTTAGCTTGTTAAAAAACAGTAAAGCCTCATGAAGTTTGCATCAAGCTCTCGAATCTGCCTGGTGATTGGGATGACCCCAGTCGTGGCCTGGGACCCCGGATACCCGAGTTTTTCCGGGGGTCTAACAAAACCCAGTGTGAACAGAGCCCCCAGTTTGTTTTGGTTTTTTCAAAACAAGGGTTTCTCTGTGGGACAGTCCTGGCTGTCCTGGAACCAGGCTGACCTTGAACTCACTGAGATCGGCCTGCCTCTGCCTCCCAAGTGCTGGGATTAAAGGCATGTTCCATCACAGCCCAGCCATATTTTTTTTTTAAAGAAATACCAAATTCAGGTTTGTATAAGTCATATACAAGCCAAACAAAACATGGCTGCAGGCTAAACTTAGCTGGCTGGTCACCCTGAGTTCCTGTTCTGTGGCCAATCTTAATGCAGCAGAAAGTGCATTATGCCGGGACTCACGGGTTATGCCAGGAATGCGAGCTATGCTACCTTAAATACAATTCACCCCCTCACCTACATGACGAAGGATTCTGTTAAATGATCCCGGAATCCCAAAAGCCCTTTCGGTTTGGTAGCTCGACAGTTTCTTTAACAGGGAAATCCTGTTCAGTTGAACTGGCTGGTTACCTACACATTGAACATGGATTACCTACCACTTTTCAAAGAACAAGAATACAATAATCTTTGGTTAACTGGAATTCTCCAGGGTTCACTGGAAAATCCCCTCAATCAAGGTCATTGTTGAAAGACTAAAATACCAACATAGTTTCCGGCCTTTCTAAGCACAGGGGATGTAGCCATACCCAGCTAGAAGAACTGATGAGTCAATGTCGGGGGATGGCTCTGCCACCTGGGCCACACCGAGTTGCAGCACAGTGGCTGGAGTTTCTCTCAGCCAATGGCTGCTCAGAGTGCAGTGGTTTCTGTAAGTCAAGGACATCTTAGTTGTCCATAAAACAACTATCCTAGGGCTGGGGGCTTGCCAGCCTCCTTGGTCTGAATCTAGACTTTTCCATTTCTTAGCTCTATGGCTTTAGGCAAACATTGCAAACTTTCTGAATGTTAGTTTTCATGTCTATAAGTTGGAGGCAACAATATGGTCCCACTGAGTTGTCATCAGAACTAAGTGAAGTAATGGGCTCAATGTGGTAAGTGGCAGTGTGCATTTGGGCTGTAGTGAGTGCTGGAAAAATGGACTCACTATTCCATTCGTCACTATTTCATGCAAATATTGTTATCATGTGAAGCCCACGTATTTATCTAGCTTTTTCTCGTTAAGGTTAGAAAACCAAACACCACTCATTTCCAACCCCAGCAGACATTTGGGAAATCAGCTATTGTAGTATCCCCTTCTCCTTATCACCCTTACCTATAACCATGAAATAGATACAAGCCTTAGAATCAGAATCACAGCCTCACTTCTGAACTCTCATGTCCATAGTTGATTCCATCAAGAATCATCCATGGGGCCATCAAGATAGCTCAGTAGGTAAATGTATTTGTTGCCAAGAATAAACTACCTGAGTCTGTTCCCTGGGACCCACATGATGGAAGGAAAGAACTGACTCTTAAAAATTGTCCTCTACCCTGTCTCGAAAAAAAAAAAAAAAAATGTCCTCTAACTTTCCCACATGCCCTGTGGCCCAAGTTGAACTCTTGAGGGGTATCAGTGTCTAGAAGACCAAGATGGCCAAGGAAGTGTCTTAAGCTAAAAACTAAGCAATATAAGACTAAATAGAATACGTGATCTGGGTGTGGTATTGAATCCTAGACCCCAAAAGGCTTTTATTTACAATGTTGTTGGAAGAAATGGATACATTTTAATATGGGTTATTAATCGATATATTATATCCACATTAAGTGGATATTCCCTGGTTAATGTAAAGTAACATCTGTGTTCTTGAGAAATTCCTATCGAAGTATTTAAAGGTAGAGTCATTTAGTGCCTACAACTTATTCTCAAAGGGTCTGGAGAGAAAGCCAGTACAACTGGGCATACACATAGAAAGAGAATATGAATGCTACTGTAGCAACGTGCTAACATTTGGTGAAGTTGTTGAAGAATACATAGAACTCTTTGTATTAGTCTCAAAGCTTTTATGTAAATTAAATTATCCTCTTCCTCCTCCTCCTCATCATCATCATTATTAAGTTTTTCTTTTTTCTTTTTCTTTTTAAGAGACAGGGTTTCTCTGGCTTTGGAGGCTGTCCTGGTATTAGCTCTTGTAGACCAGGCTGGTCTCAAACTCACAGAGATCTGCCTGCCTCTGCTTATAAGTTTTTCAAGACAGGGTTTCTCTGTGTAGCACAGGCTGTCCTGGAACTCACTCTGTAGACCAGATTGGCCTCGAACTCATTGAGATCCACCTGCCTCTGCCTCCCAAGTGCTGGGATTAAAGGTGTGCGCCACCATGCCTGCCAAATTAAAATTATTTTAAGATAAATAAACAAAACAAAGTCCAAGGTTAGATATGAACCTCGGTAATGGAGTGTGTCCTTAGCAGGAAAAACAAAACCAAAGAATGTTATCCAGTCACAGGAGAGCACACCTGTAATCCCAGCGTTTGAGAAGGGGACTCCGGAAGGTCAGAAGTTGAAGGTCACCCTCTAGCTCAAGGCCAGACCCGGCTACATGAAACGTGAGACCTTGTTCCAAAAGATGAAACCAAAATAATCTGGGGCAGCGTTTACAGTCTTATCTGCCTGAAGATAATGGAGTAGGCTCACACCAGACAGGTGGAACCCAAGTTCCCAGGGTTCCTGCTCTTGACTTGCATGTATACACTAACAGAACGGGCTTCTGAGGGCTCTGGAGGGACTATGCTGGAGGATGGCCTTCTGTATGTATGTTTCTCTTACAGGTTGATGAATAAAACACTGATTGGCCAGTAGAAGCCGGAAGATAGGCGGGGCTAGGAGATGAGGAGAATGCTGGGAAGAGAGGCAGAGAGGCCTCGAAGAGACTCTACGTAGAGACGTAGAGGTGAGGGAGATGGGAGATGGGACGTACCAGGCGTTCTCTGGTAAGATAAGGCCATGTAGAAATACATAGATTAGTAGTTATGGGATAATAATTAAGAGAGAGCTAGCCAGTAAGAAGCCCTAGCCATCGGCCAACAATTTATAAATGAACTTTGTGTGTGTTTATTTGGGGCTAATCAGCTGTGGAACCAGAGTAGAAAGAAACTCCAGCAACAGAACTAGATGAAGCAGCCTGTGGCAAAACCTGCCAGGGAATTATGCCCATATTCTTCAAGTATAAGCTGGTACAAGTGCAGAAGATGGAAGTGAATGACTAAGCAGACGAGACCAAGTGTTTGAGACCATGGGAGTAACGACACTAAGTTAGGACTGAACACAGAAAGGCGGGGAGAACTTGGCAACCTAGGTGCTAGAACAGCCCGAACAAAAGCTCTGAGTTGGGCAAGTGGTATGTGTACACAGGAACTGGAAACTTCTCGAAGCCTTTAGGGCCTGGAGGGAAAGTTCAGCCCAGCATCCAGGATGGATTGGACATTGGCAGACGAGTGGGCAGTGAACGGCTGGGCTCTAGTTGCAGTGTCTGTCTGAAAAGAGCTCCACTTTCCAGCCCTTCCTTAAGCCTCGCAGTGCTACAGAAAGAAAGCAGCGCTGCACTTCTCCCCTCAGAGCACAGAGCCTGAAGAGAGCCCCTCACCCTCCATCTCTCTTGTTAGCAGAGGCCCAGATTCAGGGCAGCCTTGCTGGGCCCCGTGGGCCCATGGGGCCCTTGTTTTGTGCTTTCTGCAGCTCCACAGCCTGCCTTGTTTATTTGTTCAGCAGGTTTATTTCAGCCATGGCACAGCCTGTTCCGACTCTGGAACATTTATGAGATGAGCCAATTTTTAAAAATCATACAAAATAAATGATTTTCTCTTGGAGCTAAAGGGTGGGGCTGCCAGGGTGGGAGACAGGTTTCTGGCCAGCTTTGGGCAGAGTTTTGGCTTATCCTTCGATGTATTCTTTCCCCTTCTTGCCCATGGGAACCAAGGGGACTGCAATGGGATTTCCTGCCTCTATTTCTCCAGACTATGATGTGGAAAGATTGGAACATTCAACCGTAAGATTTCCGGTTCTCATCTCCACCCTCATTAGTTCCATTCCAAAGCCTGGCTCTAAATGACTGCATCTAAGCCACATCTAATTGATCAGGCTCGGGATGGAGATGTCATAATCAGACCTGGACCACTCCAACCCCTCTGACAGCAGCTTCCCCCTGCCTCTTTGCTCGTGAATTCTGGCTTGATCCTTCAAAGTCCAGCTGTCACCTCATCAGCTCTAAACCCTACTGTATTCCTCTTAGCTGGCCAGCTATTTAAAATAATTTTTTAAAGTCCAAGACAGCTAAAATGCTGAATTCTTTTGCTTTTTTTTTCCTTGGGGAGGAGGGGTGTTCCAGACAGAGTTCCTTTGTGTGTAACCCTAGCTGTCCTGGAACTTTCTCTATAGACCAGGCTGGCCTCAAACTCAGAGATCTACCTGCCTTTGCCTCCCAAGTTTTGGAATTAAAGATGTGCACCACTGCAGACCGGCATTCTTTCCCTTTTTTTGTGGGGGGGGACTGGTTGTTAACTCAGCTGAGTAATGTCAGTTAGCTCAGCTGGTCTGAAGCACCTATTTGTAGCTATGTAAATATTTGATAGTGAAAAGCCTAGACATTAATGATTAATACTTTCAATTTGGGGGTCAACAAAACACTTTATTGAAACCTTAGGCAGGTGTAACTGTAATCCCAGCACTCAGGACTGAGGCAAGAAAACTGAGAATTCAAGGCTAGCCTGGGCTACATAGCAAAACTGATTAAAAATAAAAATAGAAAACAAAGTCCTGTGCCCCAAAGAGCTGGAAAAAAAATTCTTTAAGTACCCCAGAGGGTGGGTAAGAGGGAGTCTTTGAAAGGAAATCAATAGATCCCAGCTGGCCTTTGCCATGTGCCTGCCTCATTATCCTAAAAGACCAGGTGCTCAGTGGGCACCATCAGGGCCCTCTGTATAGATGGCTGAGGCTGATGGCCCTCTCTGGCTCCTTGGATCACTGCAGCCATGCCGACCCCAGCTAGTAGTCCCATCAGAACACATTTAGGACTGTCCCAGCCCCAGGCCCAGGCTGCCTAATTGATGCCATGCCCTCTTAGCATCTGTTCAGGGAGCACGGTGGCTGGTGAAGGTGTGGGGATAGGGCAATGTGTTCCGACCCCAATGCCCACCAGCACCCTCTGGGCAGCTCAAGCAGCTCCCCTAGAAGCAAGCCTGGCTAGCCGTGGGAGGTACTGTTCTTTTCTTCCAAGATTAGCTCAGACTTCAAACATGGACCCGGGCTCCTGCTCTGGGTGCCAATGCAAACAGCGTGTAGGGAACCTCCTTAGGTATCTGGAGGACAGCTCCGGCCGCCCCTCCCTTCCTCATATGAATGAGGTCATTGAATGAGGATGACAAAGCAAACAGTGACATGTGCTAGGACTTGTTCCCAGAATGATTCCAGGGATTCTCCGGCCCTTCCCTCCTCCCCACTTCAGGATGGAAAATCCATGCGTGGGCAGCAGACTGAACCGGACTCTGCAATTGGGCTCCTAGGAATGGCTAAGAGAAGGTTGGTCCTGGATAGATGGACACTAATATAGTGCACTGGAAAGCTTCAGTGTGCTTTCCCACCATTCTAATTAGACTCCTTTCCCAGGCCACAGAGGAGGTCAACAGCTTAGACAGACTCTGACTTGTAATTATTGTGTCAATAGTTTTGTTACATCTTCCCACCTTCCCACAGTTTCTTAAATTGGACATTAGGAACCTGCTTCCCACTCTGCCTTGCTGCATATCAACAACAGTACCATTATTTAATGTTTTCCTTTCCTTTTGTGGGACAGGATCCCACACATACTAAGCTGGGAACAAACTCCCTGTTAACCAAGCATCCTCCTATCTCTAATTCCTGGGTGCTGAGATTACATGTGTGTACCCACTATGTCCCCAGGGCTTTGTGTGTACCTGACCATCATGTCACCACCTGAGTGAACTGCCCCTGCTCCCCAGACAGGGTTTCTCTGTGTAGCCCCAACTGGCCTGGAACTCACTCTGTAGACCAAGCTATCCTTGAACTCAGAGCTCCACCTGCCTCTGCCTCCCAAGTGTGGAATTAAAGGTGTGCGCCACCACTGCAGGGCTCTGATTGAGCTCTTAACTGGACCCACACTGAAACTTCTGAGGCTGAGGGCGTGGGGTGGGCTCATCATTTAAGAGGGCTTTCGTAAGCATGAAGACCCAGGTTTGAATCCCCACCTGGACACGGCTGCATGTGCCTGTAACCCCAGAATTATGGGTGCAGGAACAGATAGAACTAACTAGAGAGATGAATGGAGCCGGGCATTGGTGGCACACGCCTTTAATCCCAGCACTCGGGAGGCAGAGGCAGGCAGATCTCTGTGAGTTCGAGGCCAGCCTGGTCTCCAGAGCGAGTGCCAGGATAGGCTCCAAAGCTACACAGAGAAACCCTGTCTTGAAAAAACAAAAAACAAAAACAAAAACAAAAAACAAAAACTAGAGAGCTGAATGGATAACCAGCTTAGCCAAAACAGGGTTTCTAGTTTAGTGAGGCAAACTTGGTGTGCTATTGAACGAGTCAGTTATTTCCCGTCTGTTTAATTCAACAGCAATGACAATCATGCCCTTTCTGCCATCCAAGAATGACAGGGGGCTGGAGAGATGGCTCAGAGGTTAAGAGCACTGGCTGGCTGCTTTTAGAGGTGCTGAGTTCAATTCCCAGCAACCACATGGTGGCTCACAACCATCTGTAATGTGATCTGGTGCCCTCTTCTGGCCTCCAGGGATACATGCAGACAAAACACTGTATACATGATAAGTAAATAATTTTTTTAAGTGTATGTGTATATTAAAAAAAGAATGATAAGTGACTGATCTGGGGGAGGGAGGGATGAAAATCCTCTGTAAACCATAAGACTATACCGGCACTACGGGATGGCCCAAATTCTTCCACAGAATGTTCTCAAAGAGAAACCATAGGCAGGAAGGCGATCTGGGAAGCAGCCTTTGGGCCTCCGCAATGTCCCTGGCTAGCGTGCTGTGTCCAGGTGTTGGGTTTGGGAAGACACTGGTGAGTTGAAGCAACTTGCTGCCCTTGACTCCTTCAGAAATCTGTTCTGAGCCTCAACGTTTTTTTGGCAAGTTCTCTAAATAGGAGTGAGTCTCTACTGCCCTCGTGTGGTCACTCCCTAACATTGCCTCGTGGGCTTCTACAGACATTTGCGTGACAAGGCCAACATGCTTAACTTTGCCACGAACTGAAGACTGCTTTAAAGGTAAAGCATATTTTTAAAATAACACTGTGAAGAAAATAAAAAACAATTTTTATCAATCCCAATTTGAATAAGACATTATCAACCGGGAATTTCCTACTAGTAAATACATGTCTAGGTACAGCCATTCCTTGTTAACCGTGGGTGTCCAGGATCCCTGTACATGTCCAAATCTGGGCTGTTCGAGTCCTTTATATAAAACATAGGACTTTGGGGGGAATGTTGGTTACTGAGAGAGGGTCTCACAATGTAGCCCTGGATGACTTTGAACTCACAGGATTTAGATTCCCAGGCACACCCAATCCAGTGGTGTAAAGGGGGCGGGATAAAGGCATGTCTGGAGTCATGATAAGCAAAAGTGCAGGCAGCCTGTGCTGCGGGATTTCTAAACAAGGCGCTCTGCTTAAGGATGTGTCTGAGACGAGGGGCGGAGCGGCAAGGGAAATCAGGCATGAGTGCAGGGCGTATGGGTTGGGGAAGCGGCCAGTGAAATCTTTACATGAACAACCCAAGCCATCCCCCCCCCCCCATCACACGCTATGCTGGTTAATTCTTCTCATGATGCCAAGCACTGTGGAGAAGAAACATTTCTGGCCTCCTATGGAATAGCGGTCTCAGTTCCACCATGAGTGTGCCAAACCCCTAAACCCAAAACAGTGCAAGGTCCTCTTAGGAACCAGAGAAATCTTGAAAAGTTTTCTTAATGCCACGTCAAATGAGGACTCCCAGGACAAAAGAATGGCTAGTCACGAAAGGAGACTGTACCCGTTCAACACTGTGACCCACTCCCCACAGGTCAAGGGGCTTTATGTCATTTCCCAGAAGTTCAGCATCTGGTTGGACCAAATCCTGTATGGGAACTCAGCCTCAACACCACCTCCCCCCTTCCTCCAGGCTTTGATTCCTGCTTTTGATCACTATGGAGCTGGCAGGCTTCCCTCTGGCTCCCATTCCTTCAGGAAGCCATCTACAGATGCTGGCCCTGTCACATCCTATGAGGTGGTGGCAGCTGCATTTCAATGGTAAAACAAGATTGCAGGTTATGGCTAAGGGCTTCAAAGTTAGTTCAGAAATGTGTTGTACTTCCAAAGTGGGCTAATCCCTCTAGTTCAAGTGATGTGGTTACGGGCAAGGGCTTAGACTTCAAGGGCACATCGGCTCTTCAATTCCTATTTGTTTTGGAACAATTCTAGGGGAAATGTTTATGGCACGTACTCAACAAACGTTGATGGAATGTGCCAGGTACTTTTATAGCAAAAAGTCTCTGTTGCCAGAGTTTTGATCCCAAGAAGGGGAGTGCTAGCTTATGCTAATACCACTTGACTCTGCTTTCCCCTTCCCAAAGCTTTCGTGACACCTGACCACTTCATTGTCATTTCTGCTATTAGCTGCTACTGCCTAATATCACACAAAGCCACTGTACTAAAGAAAACAAAACAAAGTTTACACATAAACCTGGGGTGGGGGGAGATCCGCCTGCCTCTGCCTCCTGAGCTCTGGGATTAAAAGGTGAGCGCCACCACTGCCGCCCCACTTCTCTCTGAGGATAAGAGCTTACTTTCCAGGAGGCAGCTCACAACTGCCTGCTATTCCAGCTCCAGGAGATGCAGCGTCCTCTTCTGGACTCTTCGGGCACCCGCACACGCGGCATACACTCACATAGAACAGAAACACAAACTACACAGTTTTTTTAAGGGGAAGTGGCTCTCAGCAAGGGTAGCCCCCCAACGTTTACTATATAGGCAGTTCTACCTCTAAACAAGTACAGCCTGGTCAGAGGGCAAACGCAGCTGGGATGTGGACACACCTACAAAACAGCTAAAGTGATCCTGACCCTGCCATCTGGGCACCGAGACTGAACACACTGGTAAAGCCACTTCACTCCTTGGATGCAGATGGGATGGGGTGGGAATAGACTGTGAGAGGGGAGCACCCCCAAAAATGGGCAGAGGAGGGGAATACACAACATAGATAATACCTTAGCAATGATATACAAATCATGTTTCTTCAAATCATCTTTATGCACATTCTATGGTCTCTCAACCATCCTTGGGGTAGGGTATTGTAGAATATTATTTTAACTACGTAAAGATATTTACATCTGTTTATGATGAGGAATATTACTTTAACTATGTGTAGGCTTGTTGCATTAGTTTCTGCTGCCTTTGTTAACGGGGTAAAGATGCATTACATTTGTTTATGCTGCATTTGTTAAACGATGGAAAGATGTGCTGCTCTAAAGAGCAAGCTCCCGTCCTAAATGCAGAGGCTGCCTCGTGTGACTGAAGCACACAAACCTGGAAACCATGAGCAAAAAGAACATGCTGCAGTGATGGAGAGGATCTTCAGGGTCCCTCAGTCAACCCTCCTTCATCTACAGGTGAAGAAACCTGGGCTTTACAGCACTAGCTCACAAATGCAGACATCACCTTCTGCCTCTGAAGGGTCATGACAGTGTTGGCATACAGGATTGCCCTCAACTAGACACAATATCAAAGTGTACACACCTCGGTAACAGGCTTTTTCTTTTGGGCTACCAATCAGCTCCCAAATCATGACATGGAGACTTACTAGTTGTGACTGCTCGACCTTAGCTCTTATTTGAATCTGTTTCTCTTTCTCTACCATTTGTCCCAGGGCTTTTTACTTTTTGTTTGTTTTTCCAGAGTTTCTCTGTGTAGACCAGGCTGTCTGTGTGTAGACTCACAAAGATCTGCCTGCCTCTGCCCCCAGTGCTGGGATTACAGACACCTGCCACCACTTCGTGGCTTTCATTCCGTATGTCTTACTTTCCTGCTTCCTCCAGTGTCT